TCAGTCTAATATAATTTTATAAACATAATTCAAATTTTCTCTACTGTCTCCTTCCAGTTTTTGGAATGGAACTAAATATGAACAATTACCAATATCCAAAAACGCATCAATATTCTGAAGGAGACAGAATCTCACACAGAAATATAGATTCCTCTGAAGTGATAGTAATCATAGTTTTCCTGGCAGTATTGACAGTATGGTTTTTCACTTCCTAAAACTTGGTCTTCATTTTCTTCCAGCCAAACATGAAAATATAAGGCAAAATCTCTTATCAATTATTCTTTTGGTAACAAATTATTTAAATTCCCTGTAACTTTATAGATAGATACTTTGACTATTTTTTTATTATTTTTAATAATATTTCTTTACTTAATGTGAGGAACTGAAAAATAAAAATGAACTGATATATAGAAATAACGATTTCACCAACATAGCAGCTATCCTGAAGTGTGATTTTGATTTAACTTCTATCATAAAAAAAGAACCCAACAACTGATCACGTCGGTTTCTTCCTCTTTAAAAAAAAAAAAAAAGTAGCCTTAAATTAGATAAGCTACAAGACCCCTTTTAACTTACAAACTTTGTTTTAGAAACAAATACCCTAAGATGACACTTACAGACTTTAATTAAATAATTTGTAGTTAAAGTATTTCTTTAGAATCAATGGATTGTTTAGTCTTAATTATTAAGCTACTCAATACAAGCAAATGTGTTATATAATTAACCACATCTAAATAGAAAAGTTAAACAATAGGAAAATGACTTTTAAATGTGCAGCACAGTACCAGTTGTTCTATTTTCATTAATTGTCATGTATCTTGCCATGTCCTTTATCTGCTTGTGAATTTACAAGGAACACAGCAGGTTGTGAATTTTTAATAGGCTTTCCTCAAGGAAAGAAAAGGTCAGTATTAACATAAAATTCTTCTTAAAGATTTGTGGCACAAATGTTTCACACAGGAGAACAGGTGTTACTGAGGAACTAAAGCCACAATAATCTGACATTTTTTTCTATGTTTAAAGAAAACTTAATGTCTCACATAATAAAATAGCACAAGGTCAAATCAATACAAAAGTTATTTCACAGTGGATGCTGTAAGTTACTTGGCACGTGATCCGTAACGGTACTTTTCAGTAACATAAACTAACTGATTTTGTTCAATTAAATATTTAATAAATCCAAGTATTGATACCTAACATCCTAATAAAAAAGAGAGGAGTAACAAGAAAGCTATCGTTGTAAGGACTAACTAACTCTGGTCTGATCTTTACTTAGTAATGAGTTGGGATGTGAATTACATTTTATCACACACATGAGGAATGAGGACCAGAGACATGATATCAGGGTAAGGGTGGGAAAAATATGCAGAAGAAGAGATAATTAAAATAATAGAGAAACTTGAAGAGAGGAAGTTTAGGGGGAGATTATAATTCAAAAATGCTGTCCATTGGTCTCTTTCTGTAACTGTTAAGAAATTTGTAATCTGGGATCCCTGGGTGGCTCAGCGGTTTAGTGCCTGCCCAGGGCGTCATCCTGGAGACCTGGGATCGAGTCCCACAACAGGCTCCCTGCATGGATCCTGCTTCTCCCTCTGCCTCTGTCTCTGCCAATCTCTCTCTCTCTCTCTCTCTCTCTCTCTCTGTGTGTGTGTCTATTGTGTCTCTTATGAATAAATAAATAAAATCTTAAAAAAAAATCAGTAATCTCAGACCTGCTAGGAATTAGCTCTTGTTAAGAGTTTCAACCATGGTTTCAACTCCCCAGGTCTCAAGGAGTCTAGGAACGCATCTGTCTGCCTCATAGTAAATATCTGGTCTAGTTTCCTTACTTGTCCGGTTCCCAAACATGTTTATTTAAATCATAGTTTGATAAACACAAGACAGTGGTAAGCCCCCAAATGTGGTCATTTGGGCCCTTTATTCTAATATTGGTATTTTGTAAGAAAAGAAGATACTTTTTAAAAAAAAAAATTATGCAAACTCTAATGGTTTAATAAAAATGTATTATGTCTGGTTTCTTAAGACCAAAACTTATAAATGCATAGATCTAATTTGTTTCTGTTAATTATGAGGAAGTAGAAATCTAATCATTTCTGATTCCCCAAATCACAGTCCAGCTTCTCACCCTCATCTCTCTGATTTCATTCTACCGTGTTCAATTTTCTAATCCAACGGAAACTTCCACAGTATGGGGTCTAATTACAAGACGTAATGTTCTCTTTCTGTAGTATAAATGAAGGTAAAAATCCTGCTGCGATTCATATTCCAAAACTGAACTTTATAATAATTAGGATCCTCCCATTCTTGCAATTTTTGTGCATGTCTGATTAAAACAGCAGAACTGGTCTTAATGTTTCCCATCTTGCTGTACCTCCTATCCCCACTCCAAATCTGTATTCTGTTCTGTATTCGTCTAGTGTTCTTTACAATTTGTAAAATGCAAAAAAATTCCCGAGTTTAAAACTCTACTCATTCTTTATCGGGTAGTTTAAGTGTTATATGCTGTAGGAAAGCCTCACATACTGCTGTGGGCTAGTTTTAGAGATGTCCTGTGAATTTCTATTACACACAGCATTTGAATTTTTCATAGCACTAGAGTGAAATTGTTGATTTACTTTTAGAAGTACTTGATTCTTATGAGAGTCAACACATATTTCTCAATTAAAATTGTTGAATGAATAGACAACAAAAGTCATAAATGTATACTACCCACCACAGTTTTCTGATCAAATAATTGATAATACCAATAATCTTTTCTTGAATTATTTTGATTCCTAGACAGAATAAGAAATATGCAATACTTATATCTGCCATTTGAAAAATTGCCACTATTTCACATTCATGTAATTGGAAAGTTTTCTGGCAAATATGTGTATTTTCAATTACTAAAAAGCATCAATCTTGTGACTTTTTGAGAGTGGTTCCCTGGACAACACAGTCATATGTTACTTCTGAGAGCTTTTTAGCTAAAAGCAGATAGTTCCCAAGTTTCTCAAACTTACCATGTTGTTTACGAATAGCTAAAAATGCAGTCAAAAGCTGTTTGTTACCTGACTTCTCTTTTTCTTTAAAGTACATATCCATTTGGGTTTTTTTTTTTCATTGTATCTGTGATAATGAGTTTTGTCCAGAAATCGGAAAAACCGAGTTTGATCCAATTTTGATGGCTTAATGCTAATTACTAAAAACTATTAACTGAAGAGTATACTGCTTTTATAGATCCAACAATAACCAGTAATACAATATATTAGCCATATGTGTGTTCTTAATACATGTTTATTTTAAACAGTTTCATGTTCATGTAAGTTTGTTTTTGCAGCCAAGTTCACTGACATAAGCTCCAAAACAGAAAAAAAACCCCACAAACTTCCAAATAAAGAAATAAAATTCTACTTTAAATAGAAAGTAATCAGTTTACTATTTCTATATGCAATGAGATGAAAATATTTGTTGATGTAAATAATCTAAAGTAAAATATCAAACTTTATTTAGATAAATATCCAAATTTCTAAATTTTTGCATAATTGAGGGATATTGTCTCTAATTTTTAACTTTCTGTGTTATACATCAGTGTGCCTATTCTGATTTATGACTACATTTTACATGAATTTGTAAATAAAAAAACATGTTTGTGAGGATGTCTAAGTTATAATAAATACTTATGGAAGTTTAGAAAATCTACATATTGTGTTCATGATATGATAAAAACAAAATTAAAAATTAAAAAAATAATCTTATTGTAAATAATCAAACTATGATCCCAGCCTAGAAAATGTTTATTGGTTGGGTGGTACAATTAAAGAAGAACTTATAATCCTTGTATTTTACAAAGCCATGCTGTGTCCCTCCTACACCTAAGCCCCACCACTCAGGGTAAGAACTCTATGGAGAGCAGGGGCTATTCATACCTGGAACCTACACATCAATTTCCAGAACATACTCAAGGTACTTGGACCCATTATTCCCTGCCTAAACATCCCTGGGCTTGCTTCTAAGTCCAGGGTGATTCTTTTCTTCAGGTCAACACCCAAAGGCCAGACTTATCCACGGTTATATACATCCTTAACTCTGGGGGCAGTCCTAGTGGGCATCTGTTAAAATACAGCATTGATGGAATTTATCCATGAAACCATGGAATCCTGGATAGCATTTGCACTGGGATGCGTGGCACAATGGCCTGAGAAGTCCTCATGAATTCCTGCAAAGCTCTTTGACGTTATTAGTGAATTCTAAAAGATGAGTGTTGTGGGCATAGGCAAAGGGCAAGAAACAGACTTGCTTTGCATTATCTTTTTCCTGCACAAAACTTGTTTGAGGTTATGAAGAAACTAGATTTGACAAGGTAGGAGCCTACAGAGAAGCATATTTTATTGTAGAATTTATTAACTTGATTTATAATTGTAAAACATAGACATCGATTTGTACTCTTTCCCTGAGTTCCAAATCTACCTGTGGGGCAGTTGTTTGTGTGTGTGTGAACCAAAAAATAATACATAGTGTTTCTAACATAGGAGCTATATCTCATACGACTTTGCCTGTCTTACAGAATATCACTAATTCTCCAATGGAAATGCAATAACAAATAACACGTTTATAAGCATTTCCTCAATAATATGAGAGTAAAAGAATTCTCCACTCACAGAAAGATATGAGAGAAGTAATGTTTACACAGCATGTCAAGACTGATGACATATGTCTTTGTCAGGAGTTAATTGCCTATGAAAATGGTTATTTGCCAAGCAAAGCAAAGAGGGGAACTGTGTTTGGTTTATTTTTATTACTTTTATCCACTTAGAGTAAAAATCACACAGATACGTGAAAAGCTAGTCTTATTGTTTAAGATATACAGGTGAGTGTGTTAATACTTATTCAACTCTCATTTCAAGAACTAAGATAACTGACCCCATTATTCAGTGATGGGACGTGAGAGACTTTGAATTCTTTCAGCATTATGTACCTTTAGACATTATCATGGATATGCTCTTTTTTATTTCCCCTAGCTTCATTCAGACCAAGATAAAGGAGATGGATCACTCAAATATATTTTATCTGGAGATGGAGCAGGTACTCTTTTTATTATTGATGAAAAAACAGGTGACATTCATGCCACAAGAAGAATTGATAGGGAAGAAAAGGCCTTTTATACTCTGCGTGCACAAGCTATTAACAGAAGAACTTTGAGACCAGTAGAACCAGAGTCTGAGTTTGTGATCAAAATCCATGATATCAATGACAATGAGCCAACGTTCCCAGAGGAAATTTATACAGCTAGTGTTCCAGAAATGTCCGTCGTAGGTAAGTTCATTTATAAGAATTATCGTGGTATGCAGAAAGTGTAAAAAATTATTATCAAGAAACTTTTAAAATACTGTGATCAGTTAACTGACATATTCTTTGATTCCCTCCTAAGAGTACTTATTTAATTTCCTCAAGTAGAAAATGAGTGAGAAAAAAAAAAAGATTAATCATTTTTTTTACGTGCTATGGATTTGTAAATCTTTACAAATAAGGAGATACATCCCTCAAAAACTCAAGAAAATACCATTGAACTTCAGTAGAAAACTATGAAAATATAGCATCTTTGTCACATAGCTTTGTATAACAGCTGTGTAAAATTCTGACCTCAAATAAATTATAAGCACATTCAGAACATTGCAGATGTAGAGTCTTTGCATACATACTCTAGTTATAATTTGTCTAAAGAATTTGTCTGGGTTATCTAGATAATACAAAAGGTGGCATTGATTACATTACCTGACTCATATTATTTCAAAACATCTTTTAATCATAATCATTAAATATAAAACTCTGCTGATATAAATCTGTTATTCAAATAAACCAGTTGAAATTCCATAATCACATACTGATACAGAATTTAAAATTTAGGTTGTAGGATCTATAAGACAGAGGACATGAAAAAGCTGTAAGTATATCATTCAAGATAACAGCATTTTCTTTTTCACTGGAAATAAATGAAAGTTGTATTTGTAAGCAGAGAAGTTAAGACTGCTTTCTTCTTTGTTAAATGGAGAATGACAAAAATACATATTAGGAAACAATGATAACATTTTTTAGAGATATATGTGTAGACTTAATAGAATAGATTTATTTCTCAAATGTGGGAGAAGTCATATATACCAATGAAATAATTCTGATACTTTCAACAGTTATAACAGCATATTTTTAACTCTGCATTTCTCAAAAGCATTGTTCTGGGATTCTTATTTAATATTTACTTCACTAAATCCCAAGGACTTTGGCAATTGCTTTATTATAAAGCCCCTTTATATTTCTTGAACTTTATTAAATTGCTTTTAATAGTTCATGGAACTTGGGATCATCTTGGATTGTTTCTAAATCTGGAATTTAATCTATTCATAAAACTGTATTCTAGAGCAGATGTTAATTATTTTTATAGTTAATTAGTGGAGAGGAGGAAAGAGAAGAACACCTACTCCTTTGTGATCAGATATGCCCTTTACTCGCAACAAATCTATTATGTGAAAATGAATTTAAATATCAAACCTGAGCATTTGTAAAGTAACTGCATTTATTATCATCTGACACATTGTGGTCTTCTCTGTGCATGCATAAAGATATACCTGTTGGCTAAATAAATATACAGCTGAATTCACAATTTTCCTGTAATAACACTGTGTGTATGATTTTCATGTCAGTTATACATGAATATTTCTTTAAGAGGTCATTTTAAAAGCCAAAAATCATTCAAGTCTTCCATGAAAACCAGTGCTTTTGCTCCTCCTTCTGGTACTGTGCAGAACTAAGCTGAATTTGGATACTTCAGGTACTTCTGTGGTGCAAGTCACAGCTACAGATGCCGATGACCCTTCCTACGGGAACAGCGCCAGAGTTATTTACAGCATACTCCAAGGGCAGCCATATTTCTCTGTGGAGCCTGAAACAGGTCAGGAATCATGAATCAGTGTTTATTAATTTAAGTCTTTATGGTCTTTATAAGTAGAAAAAAGGTGGGAAGCGAAGAACAAAACACTAACAGTCATACTTACAGGAGAGTGATGATGCCACACTTGACAATTTAGGAGTTCAAAGTTGAATGATTGAGTGAACTGTTGGAAATAAACCTGTTTTTATGGTTTTTCCATACGGGTTTGGGTCTCTATATGGCTCATATGGCCTTCTGTAGGTAATAGGAAGACCACACAAATTGTAAAATATTTACATTGATTCACTGTTACATTTTCTGGACAATAACAATTAATAGCAAAAACATGCTTTGTCTTTCAAAAATCCCTAGATATATCATTTGTGGTCTTAGTTGACTAACAGTGGAGATTTTTAACAAGGGTTAACAAAAGTTTTTATACTTTCTTCAAGGTATCATCAGGACTGCTTTACCAAACATGAACAGAGAAAACAGGGAGCAATATCAAGTGGTGATCCAGGCCAAAGATATGGGCGGCCAGATGGGAGGCTTATCTGGGACCACGACGGTGAACATCACGCTGACAGATGTAAATGACAATCCACCTCGCTTCCCCCAGAGTAAGCTGCCTTTCGTGGTCTTCCACAGGGCAAAAGTTTTAGACTAAAAAGAGAAAAGTAAAGGCAAAAGCAATTGTCAATCATTTAATTTCAAAAATATTGAAAATGTGCTGCAAAAGTGAAAACAAGGTGCGGATGCTGATGAATTCACTGTTACTAAAATATAAAAGTTAAATATTTCAGTCTTATTTCATGGGGATCTATGATCGCAAAACCCGCATCTACCACTGTAATCCAAGAACTGTTTCTTTTAGTTAGCGAAAGGAAATAATGTTTTATTGGAAAACAAAGTCATACTTCTACAATGAACGTGTTTATTTTCACTTAGAATTTAATATGGTGGATCCTCACTGGAGGGTAACATTTTTCAATAAAATATCTAATTTGTCATATTATGAGGACTTAGCCAGAAAGGGCTACATAGGCCAGAAAGAACCTAACAAACTAATCGCACTTTAATATCACTGTGTTAGACTTGCAGGTATTATATCTGTTTAGAATGGTAATCATACTAAAACAGTTTTTTAAACTAAAACATTTTGTATTCTTGACCTATTTAGTTATAAAACACTAAATCTATTCAGTGTTACTGTTATCTAATTAGATCTTTTTTTGTTATTAAATTAATCCTTCAAAGTCTCAAAAAAGATGAAGAATAGGTTAAGAATCATTAGCTTCTGATCATATAATACATGATTTATTCTCCCTTTTTATACACATTTGGAGGACATGCAATTAGAGAGGGTGATGTTAGATCTCAATGGACACTCCTAAGAATCAGACAATTTCCCACTAATCTGAAAGATCCTATACTTCAAGATGGAATTTTCTGTTATTAGAAATGCAGCCTAATATACAGGCTATAGTATGATCTATGTCTTTGAATTTTAGCATTTGCGGTGTATTAGCTTCTAAATTGATCCACAATTTTAGTTTGGTTTTTGGCTTAAATACTTTTGTGATACTGTACTAAAATGTAGCTTTTTGTGATATTTATATTTTTACATAAAAGACTATAATGCAGAAGGAATCGAGGTCTCAGAATTCATTGTATTATTGTGACAGTTTAAAAGCATTTTACTTCTTTTCTGTGCTTTATCTAACTTTGATCATTAATAATAGTGCGTGATTTGAATTGAATTATTTAAAATCATATGTGTAGAAAATTATAAAATTCACACAGAATTTTTTTGAGCAGACCATTCAGTTTCTTATTACTTGTGATGGTTCTTTTGTTAGATACTAAGTTATATGCCCATTAGGTCTGCTATTGTGGTGTTTGGCCACAACACAGAGAAAATAGTATTTGTTTATGCTCTTTTCAAATAATCAGATTGCAGCTCCAGATTACCTGTAGCATGGGCAGGAAAAAGAAGACCAGTAATAATCCCTAATAGTTCTTTTAGAATATGTATAAAGGCATGCCTCACTGCATTAAAATTTAAATTTCACATTTTGTATGTATTTCTTACTACCTCTTAGCATGAACTTGTTACCAGGAGAATGAACATGTAAATATAGTAGGATAAACCATAACTGATTAATTTCATTATCCACAATAAGGAAAAGTATTCCTCAAAAAAGTATTTTGTCAATAATAAATGACCATTAGGAGGAGTATTATATTTTAAATGCTCAGGAACGTATGTACACAAGTGTCAAAATGCAATTCATCTAAAAATGATGCTTCCAATTAAGCAAATTAATATATTCTAACTAAAGGCAAGTATTAAATATTTGAAAAATAATAATGTTCAATGAAATTCACTGTATTATTTTTCATCTATAACATCTTTATTAATTCATTTGATAATTTTTACCTTTCCTTTTGTGAAGTCAGAATTTATGATTGGTATTTGATAGGCACATTACACAAGCCCTGACATAATTATAAAAGCCATAGCCCTGGTACTACTACTACTACTACTACTACTACTACTACTACTGCTAAAATATAATAATAGTAATAGCAATAATAGTAATAATAACAATGATGAAAATAAAAAGATGCAGCAACATACCCTATTTTCCAAACCCTATTTTTGGGGGACCCTGTACCAAGTTATTTATTGGTCTACTCCATTTAGTAGCAATAACTCATTCAGCTCAGTGTCATGACCTCCATTTTACAAATGAGAAAAGGAAGATCGTAGATGTTAAGGCCAAACTACAAGTAATGACGGAACAGAGGTGGGTTGAAATCCATGTCCAATGCCTGATGTACAACACAATGGCTTTAGAGGAATTTTTAGAACACCTTGTCTCTTATCTCATTATTTTTTAGTTATAGATCGAAACATAATTTGTGGATTTTTATTTTCTCAATTATCTTTTCTGCTATGAATATTTGCAACTAAATCTTACTATTGGGAACACTCAGTCATGGCAATTAAAATGTTACTTGATCTCCTAAGTCATCTAACACACAGAAAACTAGTTTTTATATCCAATATCATTTCATTAAATAGCCACGTTTTGGAGAGAGTTCCACAGTTTATGAAGACCATACGCAATATAACATTGAGATTTCAGAACTAACCAATACAGACCCCTTGTTATTATTATTGTAATACCCAGTGTATGGAAAAAGTTTCTGAGTGGAAATAATAAAGAGAACAAACCAGTGCTGCCCAGTAGAAGTATAATTCAAACCAAACATGTGTGCAACATATGGAATTATAATTTTTTATCAGCCATATTAAAAAGTTCAAAGGAGATACATATATAACTATATATTTTCTTTAGTCCAATATTGTCCTGCATGCATATCAATAGGAAACTTACTCAGATATTTTATATTCTTTCCCCCTAATTCTTTGAGATAACCACTGGCTTCAAGTATTTCCCAGTTGTCAAGTCTCAATTCAGACTCACCTCATTTCCAGTCAATAGCTGCTTGAAGGTCAGTGGCTTAGCTAGTGGCTGCCACATGGGACGGCTCAGGAGCAGACTGTGGAGTCATTCTGCACGAGTCCCAATGCTGTCTTCCTCATTTAGTAGCTTTTTAACTGACCCCTGTATTTTTCAGTACAATTCAGTAAAACTGGATAGAAGTGCATACTCCATGAAATAATGTGAGACTAAATAATTTGATGTCTCTGAAGCACTTGGCTCAGTGGCTGCCACTGTCCTATTTACGTGTTCGGTAATGTTGATTGTCCAAGTGCTGCTCTATTACTATATTAGTCAATGTTGTAAAACTAGCCTCAGAACTTAAACTTCCACGTAGATTAGCTGATCCAACTTCAACATTTCCCAGTACACTACATCGGTGGATGATAAAAATCTCAGTCATTCGGAAGGGACAGGGAGAGGTGAAGACTCAGATGTCCTGCTTCATTTTTTACCTTATTTTATTGTATGAATCTATAACAGTCATTCTCAGTCAGGGACAGTTTTGCCACCCAGAGAACATTTAACAATGTCTGAGACAGTTTTGTTCTTCCTCAGCTGGTAGCTACTTCTGGCATCTACTGAGTAGAAGACAGGAACGCTGCTAAATATGCCTACAATTCACATGACAAAGAATAACTTGGGGGATCCCTGGGTGGCGCAGCGGTTTGGCGCCTGCCTTTGGCCCGGGGCACGATCCTGGAGGCCCGGGATCGAATCCCACATCAGGCTCCCGGTGCATGGAGCCTGCTTCTCCCTCCTCCTGTGTCTCTGCCTCTCTCTCTCTCTCTCTCTCTCTCTCTCTCTCTCTCTCTGACTATCATAAATAAAAATTTAAAAAAAATTTAAAAAAAAAGAATAACTTGGAATAACTTGGCCCAAAATGTCAACAGTAACAGTGCTGTGGTTAGGAAACTTTGATATGTTATATGAGGATCTGTTCAAGTGAAATCATAAATTCCTTTACCTAAAAATATTATTGAAAACATGATTGGACCAAACACTATTATTATAGAAATGAGATATATGAATTTTGTCCAAAAAAAAAAGTCATGGTTATTGTCACTATGACCTTTCATTACAGTAAAGGAAGCAGGTCAGACATAAGTAAAACCATGATATCCCTCCAGAGTATTGGCTCAGTCGTGGATAAAAGTAGGAATATGTGTGTGCCAAGGGGAAGGTATAAGGGGGAGATTTCATTCGAGAGGTGATATTTTATTCAAACATGGCAAGATGAAATAGACCCAGCCATACAGAGAAGTGGGGAAATCCACCAAGCAGAGGTAGTGGCATGTGAGAGGAGGTTGGTGGGAGATTAGATCAAAAGCTCTACACTCACAAGAACACGGACCCCCCCCCCCCAAAAAAAAAAGAACACCGAACCCATAATAGTAAATTTTTATTGGTATTAACAAAAATCATGGTCTTTGCCTTTAGGGGTGTATGGGTAGGTGAACATTAATATAACATGGGTGCCTACCTCTAGTATGATTCTAAGAGTGGGGCAATGGGTTACAGTGTTACAGGGCACCTGAAAACTGAGTTCCAAAAGTATTTTCTGTTGTTTTGCTCTAGATACTAACTTGTATTTTTCATTCTCAAAAAAGATACCTCTGCTTTGTTGAAGCTTTTTCATAGTCCTGGGTTAGTTCAAGTGACATAAGTTAATTTTTAGAACAAGTAAGAACAAACATCTGCTTACCTTTCACTGCCAAGGACTGTGTTGCACCTAAACACATGAAGATTAATGTCTTGATTCCTGATTCCGAGTGGCTTATTGTCTAGCAGATGAGAGAATATTTCAATAGGAAATCATGTGTGATAAAGGAAGTATGTACAGAATGCAACGGACAACCAGAAAAGCACATTTATCCAAATAGGGGGCCAAGGATATGAGTATATCACTTACAGGGGAAGCTTTTGGAAAACTTGTTTCTTTCCATTTTTTTTAAGTTTATTTCAGATAGAGAGAGAGAGAGATAGAGAGAGAGAGAGAGAGAGAGCATTAATGGGGGGAGGGGCAGAGGGAGAGAAAGAACCTTAAGCAGACTCCACATTGAGTGTGGAGCCTGACATGGGGCTTGATCCCAGGACCCCAAGATCAT